TCCTATCCCTCCCCCCCAAGGCCTTTCTGAGCCTTAGACTGGTCATAATGTTTTGTATTTTTTTTCCACCCAGATGAAAGCTGACGCGGAATCGCCGAATGCACAGTAGCTGACTTATTTCGCAAAATGTTAGCCGGAATTCAGGACCTTATCTTCGAATAGAACGGATTCCTTTGGTTGACTTGCAATACTGATTATCCTTTGGCATAATCTAAAAATATTTCCGTTAATACAGAATGCTGGCCTTTGGATGAGTTTATTTTCAGTAGTCAGCAAAAGTAAAAAAATGACTATTCAGTAGCATGGAATTTACCTTCAGGTTCGCGAATAGATTTCGTAAAAAACAGGCATGAAAATATATTTTACATGCACTCATTTGGTTAAAAATTAGGTCACCACATGCCATACTTGAATAAACGACACTTGTCGGTTTAGAGAAAGTTTGTAATTATGAGATTTTGTAAGACCGTAAAACGTCCGCTCAGATAACATTAGACAGTGCGTAATAGATCGCATGAAGTGTTGGCCAAAACTCTGAAATGCTTATTTGATTAGGAAGGATTACGTAGACGGATTTGCAAAAGTGATTATCTGGCGGCATTATCCTATATAATTTCGGACTCGGCAGGATGTCGACTTTTGAATGCACCTCTTTTTGACCTCCTGTAGGAACCGTATCCGGCAAAGAATGGTTATTTAAGCAACATGCATTTTTCACATTGATTTTCGATGGTCTTATAAATTCAAAAATATTTCATAAAAAACATGAACAAAGAAGGCTTTATTTTACTATTTTGAAAGGGAATCACGTCATCTTTTATTGTATACTTCAAGAAGGAGCATAATTAAGCTCTTAAAACGTTTTATTATTCCAGAATAATTTGGGGCATGCTTAGCTTTTGCATTAACACTTAAAGGTTTAAGTCTACAGGCTGCATGCGGTCCGTGTATGGAAAATCATGCATTCTTGTATGCCTTTAAAAAAAGATACCATAAACAGTCCCCAAAATTTTGCAAATGAATGCGGATTATGTTGTTCGTTTCATGAGGAGCAGTGGTAAACGGACAGGTACAATGCTGTTTGAATGGACATTGCACGGTCTCAAAAAACACATAATTTTAAACTTAGTAAGACTTAATTATACTCCTTTATCAAGTATAAACTATAAGAATGACCTGATTTACTATAAAATAAGTAAAATGAAGCATTCGTTATCCATGCTTTTATGAACTATATTTGAATTTATAAGACCATCGAAAATTAATGTAGAAAATTCATGCTATTCAAATAATCACTCTTTATCAAGTACGGTTTCTACAGGAGGTCAAAGAGAGGTACATTCAAAAATCGACATCCTGCCGAGTCTGAAACGTTATGGGATTATGCCGCAAGATAAGCAGCATTACGAATTCACCCAAGTGATCCTTCCGAATCGAAAACGCATTTCAGAATTTCGACCAACAATTCATTAGATCGGTCACACACTGTATTTGCTTTTTTATGAATGTCTCGCATGATGCATGAAACAAAGTCAGCGTCTGTTATGTAATGTTATGAGCCCTATATGATACCTTCCTACTACCATAGAACAACATATGCTTTCCCTACATGGAAAGTATGCAGTAAATGCAATTTTATCTCCAGATCGGTTCTAAAATTATTTGGGAATTAAGGATGGTTTTCGAAACTGAAAGATACCCTTTCTCCGGGCATAAAACGGCAGGAAGACGG